TTGTAGAATTTTGTTGGATGGCAATTTTCATATTTTAAAATAATTTAATTTAAAAAAATTTTAAGGACAACCTTATTGTAAGGCTTATTTATCAATACATATTTATAATTACTTAATGTTATCAATTTTATAAATTTAATAAACATTATAATTTGTTTTTGAAGATAATTTGAAAATATTACTAGTTATTTTAGAATAAAATTAAGATATTTTAAGAATATCTGAAAATTGGAGCAATGATACCATATTGTAAATATGGTTGATGTGGGTCATGCTCTATATCTCCAACCATTACATGATCCTGCCATTCTGATGACTCTATTCTCAGTATTGCTAAGTCAGACTGGACAGAAAATTTGGCCCAGGAAAAGCTACAATATACAGTAGGCCCACAGCTGTTTAAATAGCATTCCTAGATCCAAAATTATGATATTAACATTGATTCAAAAATTGTCATAAATGTTTAAATTCTTGCTCTGTTTGTTTTCTGTAAAATTTGTTAACAAATGTCAGTTTTTCTTAATTTCCTCATTTGCACCTCTGCCTTGGACATCCAAATGGCCATATTCTTTATCATGAATGTGTATACATTGTAAATGTATTTCTTGGAATGTATTTTTAATTAGTTGTTCTTCATGGGTCATGGTCATGCCAAAACAATTTCACAACAGTGTAATGAGATGAAGATGGGATGGTTACTTTAAAAATAATATAGAATTCCAGAAAATAGTGTTAGGTTTTACTCATTATCATCTTGCATTAATTAATTTTTTAGTGACAACCTTTTGACCCAGTTGGAGTAATCTCTCTGGGAAAGTCTATTACCCTGGTGGACCAGTCCAATATTGCTGTAATGTCATCTTGTTACAGTTGAATTTATTACAGGACTATAATACCACTGCCAAAATATTAAATTAATATTTGTCAATGTTTACTTAATTCCACATTAATTTGATTTTATTTAAGTGTATTTCCACAATTTGTATTTTGAGTTTTGTAAAAACAAATTTTTTATTTTCTGTTCCCATAACAACGGAATTGTTTTGTAGCAGGTTACCACAGTAATGACATTCTATAATCTTCCTAAGTGTTCCAGAAAATGAATAAGTCTGAAAACACTAGAACTTGTTGTTTTTTAAAATNGCGATGCAGTTCAAGAAAAGCGGCCAGAATTGGCAAATCGTAAGGGTGTTGTTTTCCAGCATGATAATGCAAAGCCCCACACATCTTTGGTCACTCGCCAAAAATTATTGGAGCTAGGTTGGGATGTGTTGTCACATCCACCATATAGCCCTGATCTTGCACCTTCAGATTACCCATTTATTTCGTTCCATGCAGAACTCCTTAAATGGTAAAATTTTTAATGATGCTGATGATGTAAAAACACATTTAATTCAGTTTTTGCTGGCAAAAATCAGAAGTTTTATGAACATGGAATTATGACACTGCCTGAAAGATGGCAAGAGATCATTGACAAAAATGGACAATATCTAATTGAATAAAGTTATATTTTTAAGCAAAAATTTTGAATTTTCCTTCTTATTTAAAATCAGCAATCACTTAGTTGCCAACCCTATATAACAGAAGGAAAGCATGGCAATTGGTCAAAAAATGCAAAAAAATTCAGGGTTTTCTGTGGAGGGGCATGATTTTGTTTGCCCTCTTTGAAGTTTAACTCCTGAGCTTTGCAAAATTTCAGAAATTGACAAAGAGGTTTGTGTATTAGGGAGATTGATTCTATTCAGTTTTGATGGTTAAAGGTCAAGGGGGTGAAGAGATAAAGGGGCATCTCGTCATATCTTGAGTAGGGTGGACTTAATGACAATTTTAACTCTAAGCTCTGAAAACTCACTACATCTCTGTTGCTAATACTAAATTGTTTTTACCCGACAGGCTATAAGGGCATAGCAAAAATTAGTCTAAAAACATAAATATAACAAACATTGCAAAGCCTGATGAGTATATAGAAACATCCAACAATTGCCTAAATGATTGTATTAATTATTTAAATTAGCCAAATTGTAGCCCAATCATTTAGGTGATCATTGGATGTTTCTATAGTGAAAAACGAAATTGGCTGATTGAAAAGTTGTTAAATGGATAAGGCTGATTGTATCAAGATAATGCTATTGGAGAAACTGTTGAAGTAGTTGTTTGTTTCATCTAAGGCTTTGTATTTTATTGGAAAAAACAGAACTAATAATGGAGATAAAAAAAGATGTTACCAAAAATGATTCTAACAAAATCCCAACAATTTACTACCAATAACAACAATTTACTGGCATCAAGGCCTATGGTAAAACTGCTGAAAAGCATATGAGTGTTGGTTACTGTTTTTTGATAAGACTTATAATTGATGCATTCTAACAATACAACAATGAAAAAATAGTACAGGTTGCTACCAATCTCCCAAATCAGTTTTATGTTGGTGAAACATGTAATATTGAAATAAAAACACTTTTTGGTTTTTTGCAGTTGATGGGTATGGTTTAATCCAACCATTAAAATAAGGCTGACATTGTGGAATATGGTATGGGCAAGGAAATATTTAGGGGAACTAAGTGCAAAAGTTGGTTCTATTTTTTACTGTATTATTTGTGATTTGACATTACAGAAACTATAATGAAAGACATCAAGTTGATAAACTTGTAGTAGCATGAACAAGTTTTGAAAAAGTGATTAAAAATTTCTGGTTGGCATGTACAACCTCAGAATATTTAACCATCATTGAAAAATTGGAATCTTTCCTGGGTAGATGCTCATTCCAGTAGTATATGCCTAATAAGCCAGCAAACTGTAGCATTAAAATTTGTGCACTAGTTGATGCTCATACTTATTATACAGTCAAGGTAGATGTCTACATTGGAGAGCAGTTTGATGGATTTCAAGCTAGTAACAATCCAAAAGACATTTTAGAAAGACTTGTAATGCTGATCTCTGGTACAAAACATATCACCTTCAACTGGTAAAGTAGTTACAGCTTGATGACTGATATTCTTCAAAAGCATAAACTTACCTCAGTTGGGAGGAAAAAAAGTAAAATAGAACTATCTAACATTTTTCTAAATGCTAGAAATAGAGGTAAGCAAACCAGTCTTTTTGTTTTCAAGAAAACATAAAACTCTTGTTCTATGTCCCTCGTAAGAATAAAAATGTCACACTAATGTTGAATAGATGAAAGCTGTAATGAAAAGCAATTGCTGGAAATTACCAGCTTTTATAATCTCACAAAAGATGGTGTAGATGTAATGAGTGAACTCAGTCTAATAAGTCATGGAAGACAAAAGTCCAGATAGCATAACTGGTAATGCATCTGCTCAGTAAACAGTGGTTGAAAGTCCTGTTCCAAAATGCTTTTTTACTTTCCTGGCTGTTATGTATAGGGTTGGCAACTAAGTGATTGTGGATTTTGTCAATAGGTAGCCTTAGTACATTTTTTTGCTTTGTCATCGTGTTCAAAGCATTTAACCTATATTGTTTTCTTGTTGTTTGGACTTCCACCTTTAATTTAGTAAAAAAATTGTATTGATTAGTTATTTAGTTTCATTTTTATCCCAATTTAAAAATGGAAGAACAAGACGTGCATTTCAGAAATATTTTATTGTATTATTTCCGAAAAGGCAAGAACGCATCACAAGCACACAAGAAGTTATGTGCCTTATATGGGAATGAAGCCTTGAAACAAAGGCACTGTCNGAATATTCGTTACAACACTATTTGAAATCTGAGTGGTGATTTTCTTTTAGCATAATGCACAAATAGGCATAATAACTAGAACTGTTCTGTACTTACTGGATGATCACTAGATTATGCAGATTTTTCTAGGAAAAATATTAGCCAAAGATATCTTGTAATACTAATATTAACTATTTCATATTACACTATTATTAACTATTAATATTTATAATATTTCATTTTTAGATTTTAGATTGGACAGAGAAAAAAGAAAGAAACATTCGTGCTTTACTTTGTACCCTGCACACTGTCTTGTGGGAAGGCACCAGATGGCAAGAGGTGGGCATGCATCAACTGGTGTCAGCAGCTGACGTAAAGAGATACTACCGCAGAGCCTGTCTTGCCGTTCATCCAGACAAAGTAAGATGGTTGTTTCTTAATTGTAAATTTCTGTTTGTTTGATATAATGTTGTAGTAATAAATTTTTTTTTTACGTTAACAGCAAGTGGGGACAGAAAATGAGGCGTTGGCCAAGTTAATATTTATGGAGTTAAACGATGCCTGGACCGAATTTGAAAAACAAAATCAAGCTAGCCTTAACTAGTCATACGCCAACTGGCGCACACGATGTGAGATATCTTGTATTTAGTCGTTGCGGGGAGTAAATTTCGGCTCGACGGTTAGTTGAGAAGAATATCTTATATGATTATTTTGATTAAATAATCCTAGATACTCAGCTGTTACCAAATTATATACTAGAGTAAGTTGCCTCACTATAATGCCATTCACTCGAATTTGCTATTATTTTATTATTAATTTTTCAAAAATTGTTGAGTGTCAAACTTTTGTGTCGGTGACTTATGTGGGTTTAATTTTGAAACTATAACCTACTTAAATAGCACTCTCTCTACAAAAAAGTTGATCTGGGTTAAAAAATTTTATTGTATAATAGATATGAACTGTTGACGTTTGACGCCACTCGTTGGTACTAATGTACATTCCATTAATAGATGTGATATACAAAATGTATTTTTTATTTGGTTTGCTGTAAAAAGTTATACAAATTGTATGTCACCCGCCACTCGTTTCAAAAATCGGGTCAGTTCTTGCCTCTACCAGTTGTTTTTTGTAGATAGAATTATTTGAAAGTACACGTAGTCGTCACGTCTATCTCTCTCTCTCTCTCTCTAATTCAAATCAACGGGTCGAGGGAAAGCAATAAAAATGCTTAATTTAGGAACAGTCGAGGTATTACTTGTGAGAAATTCTTTTATGTGCCCAGAAATGTATTCATGTTCATTTGAAATAAATGTCCTATGAACATATTTTTATATAGCAAATGTGTATGTTTATTGTTACGAACAAAACTTTTTATTCAGCAAACAAAATCTGCAGCTTCTCTTCTCCTTCTACTCGATCTATCAGACTATTGATAGTTTGTCGAAATGTTTCGGGAGCGGTGTAAAACTGAATAAATAACTGCCTCTCTTCCAACTTGTGTTTGTCTTCTTTTATTTCCTGTTTTTAAAGAAAAAGAAATATTTATACTTTGTGTAAATAAAACCTTGTTTATTTTTTCTTTATTAACCTTTTTTTTTCTTTCAAAGTCTTGAATTAGATTTTTTGCCTCTTTCTCGAATGCATGAATGTTTGCTTCTAACTTCTTCAGATTTGCAACGTCTAGATGGCACATCATAGATTTACTTCCATTTTCTTTATTGGAATTGTAAACAACAGTGTTCCACTGATTAAAGCATTGTTTCCTATAATGAGATATTTCATAGAAAATTACACAAAATGAATGTTTGACCTTGTAAATTAACTTGAGGAGGATATGGCCAATTTTTTAATAATTTTGGTAAGTGAAATATGAAGTAATCAAATTCCTTGCTTTATGTAAGTTAATAAATCAGGCATGGCCAACATACGGCCCACGATTAATCTTTCAATATTAGCTACTCAAGTAAGAATATATTGATGAAAAATTCTAATGCCTAAAAAAAGAAAAAAAAAAAAAAAGGTAACTCTAAACGCACAGTTAGTTGTTGAATGCTCCATTACAAATGTCTTCAGCACAGCATAGAATGTAAAAAATGTATTTGTAATCTCTATGTACAATTTAGTCTCTACAGGTGACATGACAATGAGATCTCGCACCACCTCAAAATCTTCCTGGGGCAAAAACTGTTGGCCATCCCTGTACTAAAGTCATCAGGAAAACTTGACAGGAAACTCTGTTACCAGATCTTCACTTATCATCAATTTGACAGACTTTGGAAAGTAAAATGATTCCAGCAGATTAGAGAAGATATATGGCAACATAAACTTCATGATTTTTTTATTAGAGAGCTAGGTCCTAATTGGTCTTATAAAGAGAAAAGTTGTGTTAGCAACACAGCAAAAAGTCAAGAAATTTGATTTTTTTTGGTTAGTTTCTTAGACATGTACAAAATTTTGTTTCTGGCAATCATCTTAAATTATGGTACTTATTCTGAAGATAATGGCATATAAATTCAAATGTAAAAATATTAATTGCTAGAAAATTCATGTGCATACAAAAATTTGTTTCCTGAAAAGCAATCATTCTTCTCGGTTAAAAGTAACTATTTACAATCTGTCATATGATTAGAGGATATGAGTTTGTGAAAGGTCTGAATGCTTCAATTTCTGTGATGATAAAAAAAAATCATTAAAAACAGGTAAAAATGCACACACTAAGAGCGATTAAAACAGGGTCTTCCTTTTTATACAATATTGACCTTTATCCACATGCTTCAGTTAGCCTTTTAAATGGATTGGAAACTTATGCCTAATTTTCGACAGTTGAGTATTAACATTTACTGGAGCAAAAACCTTTTCTTTTCCCTAATTATACAGTCCATTTCAAACTTATAAACACACCCAAATTTTTTTAATAGTAATGTATTTAAAGTGATGTTGTAAACAACATACTAATAGCTCTAAAAATTTCAAAAAATGTTTATTATATCTGACAATTATAATTTTTTTGTAACATTTTCAATTTTTGATTGTTTCAGAAGTATAAACACGGGTGCATAAAGTTAGTATGATAACTAATTAATTTTTTTTTATTAATTATTGGTTTATCACCAGAGGGTAGTATCATTCATTATTACAAACATGGTGTCAATTTTAAATCACAAAAAACTGTTTAAAACACTTAACAGAGTTGGAAATACGTGAAATTTACCAACTAAAAGAAGCAGGACAATCTCATAGATCAATTTACAGCTGCTGAAATTTTCTTAATGTGCTGTGATAATGTGTTAACTCATTTCTGCCATAATTTTCACCCTAAGTGATGTGGATAGCTTAAATTCCTTACACCTAGTCAACAGTTCCTAGTCTTTGATTTCTGTCAGTCAGAGAATCGGCAACTGTATGGAGATGTATGCATAGTCTTACTTTCAGTTTGGCAGCCATTTTTAACATAATTGCACCAAAGACAAGATGACATGGAAACAAATAGTCTTTTCAGATAAAAAAAAAATGGAATTTGGATGGATCTGACAGTTATAGTCACTACTGGCATGATTTGAGGAAGAATGAAGGAGTCAGAATGAGCAGACAGCAAGGTGGGACTCTGTGGGCAGGATTTGAATGGGGGGTAAAACAGACATTGCATTTATAGAAGGTAGAGTGAATTCAGAAAAGTATCAAGAACTGTTGTATTAAAATTTACTAACTTTTGGATCACTTGTTGAAATTGCCAGTTTTCTCACCAATAGGATAATGCTGCCATTCATGCATCAAAGTTGAAAAACATTAATGTAATTGATTGGTCATCACGGAACCCCGATATGAACCTGACAGAAAATGTTTGGTGCATTATGAGTCGTCTTGTTTATGGCCAACACCGTAAATGAACTGATTTTTGAGAAAATATTAAACTACTACTACTACAAAAACTAGTAAAATGTATGCGTGATAGAGTATTTGATTTAATTAATTCAAATGATGGATCTATATTGAGACATCACAAATCATTTTTTTATGCACCTGTGTTTTTTAATTTTAAATCTATCTGACAATTGAAACAAATTTCAGAAAATGTTTAAATTGATGATGTAAACAATATACTCAATAAATACATTACTATTGTTTAAACTTCTAATAGTCCATTTCAGAAAGATACTTACAATAAATCTAATTGTTTCATTTGTTTGACATAACTAGAAGAAATAAATGAGTGGAGAAGCAAATGTTCATCTGTTATTCTTTCTGCAGCTTCTTTCAGATCGTCGTACGTCTGAAATAAAACTCTTCCAGATTGTTGCATGTTGGGTTCTAAGAAAAATATAGTAATTAAAAAGAAATAAATTACATAAAGATTTTATTGAATTACCTATCATCATCATTAAATCCTTTGCAATTTTATCTTCAGAACACAGCTCTTTCGTTTTTGTATTGGATTTTATTTGATAATGCTTCATCCAGTCCTGAAAATATTTGAAAAGATAATTATTCATTGTAAATGTATAATGAAACTCAAAATATAGCAAAGCAATATAAAACACATACATAAACTTTAACCAGGACATCACACAACTTTGTCGTATCATGATAGAATCAAAGTGGAGCTGGAGAGGCGATCCAATAACAAAGCAATTGCCATTGATAGATGTGAAAAATGAAGAAATCAATTTTCTGTTAGGTGCATGCAATACTGTTTTTATTTTTGACCCCTAGGTGTACTTAGTTGCATCAGAGAGCATGGACATTGTCAGTTTAACCCCACTATCAAAAACTCCCTCAATCCCTATTTTTTACATTTAAATGGACACTTATTAATTGCAATGGAAAATGGCAAAGTTTCTCAAAATATATTTTTGAGAAACTTTATCCAAACCAGAAGTTCATATATAGTTAATCCTGCCCCTAAGCTTTTCATATTTGGTCTCACCTTCATCTATCTAACTCAGTTCTAAAGATTAAGGAAGGTCAGACACTGATGCCAGTGGAAATTTACAGATCTAGAATTTGAAAATTGCAGTCCAACAATGTAAGATATATATTGAAAGTTTTTTTATATATGGATGCTGTTTATACTTTCTTGCATGACATGACAGATATCAGTGCAATATTCTAATTCATCCTAAACATGGTGCATATCGAGTTGAAAGTGGCTGATAATGTGGCATATATAGACAATCTTTTACATAAACTCCAGATTAGGAGGTCATATCATGCTCAATCCATCTGTGGGAGGGTTTGGTTGAGATATGCTTTTACTAGTGGAGAGGCCTCATACTATTGGTAAATGGACTTATTGCTGTTGGTCTGTGCTGAGACATGAGCCACTGCTTGCAACATATCGAAGTATACACTGTGACTGTGGCTTTCATGAAGAATGGGCTATGCACTTTGTTTTCTGTGGAATGTCACAAGTTATAGTTTCAGTCACATAAAAACTTGTGAACATAAGGCATAATGTACTGTATACCCATATAATAATAGGTTCCATACATTCCAATAAAATCATGAAACAAGGGAGTTCTTTTTAAATAAATAACCTTGTATATGTACTGTACATATTAAATTGGATAAAATGGTTTAATATTTATCTCTGTAAAGATTGGTGGATTTGATTTATTATTTCTATTTTTAATTGATGAAACAAGTTAAAAGTTATGTAAGACATTTTAATACATTATTTAGAAATTTATTAGGATTACTATATTATATATGGGTTTTGTGACTACTGTTCTAAAACACCTTGCGAAACAACAAATCCTTAGGATAAAATTTTATTGTTGTCCATTAAACCAAAGGAAAATTTAGCAAATCAACTCTTTTTATTGCTCTATTCACAAATAAAAAAGGTTTTATTTTTTGTACACAAAAGTCTCTGTAATTTTTCAACATTTTCCAACAGTATAAGGGGGGATGTTTTGATAAAAATGACATAATTTTGGAACTTTCATTTATTTGTCTTGGATGCCATCCCGTATACCTCTTAGTAACAATTGAAGAATCTGCATTCAGAAAATAAGATTCTAACTGAAATTAGGAATTTTAAAGCTCTTTTTTGAACTTTCTACTAACACTAAAAATTTGTAATATAGGTTTGATTATTAAATTCTTGAATGGAGCTGTTAAAGAGCAAAAGATAAATATAAAAACTGCAATAAACAAAGATACATAACACAGCAGTTAACCTTTGACATTAATCGAGAATTTTTTTTATTATTATTTGATTGATTATCTATTGGAGTGCCTTTTTATTAATTAACAAAAGAATATTTCATAATACAAGTTTTCTTTTAGATGCATCAATCTCAATGGATCATTTAAATTTTTGACAAAATGTAAAAAAATCCATAAAGTCAATAATTGCTGAAATTTTTACTTATCTTTTATAATTTGATTTTAATATCTGTTTTGCACAGTAAAAACAAAAAAAGCTAAAATTCAATTACTGTGGAAACTAGAGAGAGTAAAAACTGCATAATTTATTATTATAAAGGTTTTGTCATTTATATGTAAAAATTAGATTTAGGAGGAAATAAATGGTTTATTGCTGACAAGGCCAAAGTTTTATTTAAAGTATATTATTTCTTAAATAGTTAGAGTACAACATGAAATAAGTTTTTTTTAAGAATTTGTTTTCCATACATCATATTTATATGAGCATTAGATGATGACAATTTAAATTAAAATTATTGAATACATAATTATAAATGGGAAAAAAAGAATCAGTTTTGGTTTCCCTATGGATAGTCATCTGAATTCATAATTTAGATACATATAATTGAAAATGATTTATTAGTGAATAAATAATAAGCTAGTAGAATATATCAATGAAATATTTGTAAGGAATAGATCGATATTTTAAAATAGTAAATACTAGACTGCACATTATCCAAAAAGAATAATAATAATTCATCTTACTTTTCGTAGACAAAATTCCTTCCAAACTTCTGAAAAGTTATCATTTAATAATTTAAGTAATTTATGAATATCATCTTGATAATGTGATTCTACTTGAAACAACAGCAATAAAAATTCCCAACGAGAACGCTGTTTTAAAAGCTGATCTGTAATCTGGTGTTGATAAATTTAACAAATACATTAAATATAATTACAAAATATTGTTTTTCATAAGCTATTAATAAAAGTATACCATTTTCTGTCTTTTGTAAAAATATTGTTGGCGAGCCAATTTTGTTTCATAATCTCCAGTAAGCACAACTGCACTTCTACACTGAATGCATTTTTTTATTACATTAGGTAAAATAGTTGTTAACAGTTCTTCAATTTCAGTTTTTTTTGCAATGAGCTGTGCTTCTAATTGCTTTTGTTGTTGTATAAACAACATACGGTTAAATGGTAATGTCTTTATGTAATTTTTATTAATTTTATTTTCCAGATATTTAACTTTTTCTTCAACTTTTACACTGGCAATGAGTTCTTTGATTCTATTCTCTTCTGTTTTCTGTAAACTGAATATTTGAGCATAAAAAAAAATTGAATTAGGCTAATAAATTCAATTATAAAATTACATTACAAGTTAATTTATGCATAAATGAGAATTTTTTACATATTATGTAAACGTGCTATTTCTCTGCAATTTTTTGCAACATTCCTATCCTTTGATTGTGAAGTATTTGAAAGTAAATGTGAAATATCAAGCAGCTCACAGTTTATACTTGAAACAATGCCACTTGTTAAATCAGCAAATGGCTAAAAAGTGAAAAAAAAAAGTTTGTCTGTTCATTTATATTTTATATAAATATTTTCATAACCATAATATAAAAGAGACTTACCTTGTTAAGGTATTGCTTTATATAATTTCTTAATTCTTGCAACAGTTGATCTTCAGTATTCAAATAAACTTTTAAGTCTACATGACTAAAAAGTGCACAAGACATTTCTTCATTAATGAAATTACTTTCTGACATTTCTTTAAATAAATTAGTTAGGTCTTGTGAATGAAGAAGCATAGATTGTAAACAATTGGAAAGCTGAAATATTTTTAGATAAATTTTTTTTCCTGTTTATTCATTTGACATAAAATATTTTCTAAGTTTACCTTTTTCTGCAAACTTATTAATTTATGTTGCTTGTATTCTAAATTATTTTTAACAAAATTAATTTGGTCTTCTAAATTTTCAATTTGATGATTTAGTTCAATTTCACTTTTTATAGGAA